AAACTGGGACCAGTAACTCCCCGACGAACCCCAAACTGGGACCAGTAACTCTTCACTGGGACCCAAACTGGGACCAGTAACTCCTCACTGGGACCCAAACTGGGACCAGTAACTCCCCATTGAACCCCAAACTGGGACCAGTAACCCCCGAACTGGTCGCGGACCCCCCAAGCCCCCGGAACCCTCCACGGGGGCCACGCCCACCCCGACCCCTGCCCGGGACGGACCGACCCCCGCCCGGACCGGAAGTGGCACCGAACCGGAAGTAGCTCCCACCCGCTACAACCCCCCCCCCACATTCCCCCTCCCAAAAAAAAACCCCAAAAATTCCCAAATCCCCCCAAAATTCCCTAAAATCCCTCACTTTAGTGGATGCTGACGTCATGGCCGCCCTCCCCGGCCCCTCCGGCCGCCGCCGCCGCCGCTCCGGCTCCTCGATGGTGGCGGCGGGGGAGGGGGACGCTCTGCCCCGCGCGTCTCGCTGGTACCGCCGCCCTCACGAGGCCCCGCCCCTCGCCCCGCCCATTGGTTCCCTCCGCCCAAGCCCCGCCCATCGCCAACTCCCATTGGTTCCCTCCCCTAAGCCCCGCCCACTTCCGCCCCCCGCGGCCGCTCCGCGCCGCCGTCTCGTTGCTCCTCAACCTCCAACACCCCCAAAATCCCCATTTTTCACCCCAAAAAAACCCCAATTTCCCCAAAAACCACCCTCGCCGCGAGTATCCAACAACTCTCTTTATTCTTTCAACCCCTCCAAACTTCTCTGCGTCGCTCCGGGCGGGAGAAAATTGGTCCTCCGAGAGGGGCGGAGTTTTGGGAAACGAGGGGTGGGGGGGGAGAAAAAAAAAAAAAAAAAAAAAAAAAAAAGGGAGCCTTTTTTTGGGGTGAAAAAGGGGAGTTTTGGGGTCTCAGCGCACCATGTACTCCTTGCGCTTGTTGAGGCGGGTCTGGCACAGGGAGAAGCCGCCCAGCAGCGCGTAGAGCCCCGCGGCGATGAAGCAGTTGTAGCTGACCTGCTCGTACAGGCCGTAAATGCGCTCGGGGCCGCTGAGGGAGACAAAAAAATGGGAGTTTTTTTGGGGGGGATTTTGGGGAGATTTCGGGATTTTTTTTGTGGGGGGG